ATAGTAGTGGTAGTAGTAATAGTGGGAATAATAATAATGGAGCAAAAGGATCCCTGTTGCTTTTCGGAAACGTCCATTTGATTTCGGCATGTCCTGTTTGCATCCCAGACTCTGAAGGCTTTCGGTAGCACCGAGGCAACACTCTAGTCACTGTGCCACAGACTGACACACTCATGCATTACTACTGAAACACGAAGATCTCACAGCTCAACTTAAAATTCGACCATGTCAAGCTGTTGTGATTACAAGTTGGCATGTCTGCGTCATGATTCAGAGTGTACCCGAGTACAAGCAGACGTAACAGTAAGACCACCTTAGCAAATAGGTAAAACACTTCAAGGTGTTTGCTTGGATGGCAAAGGAGCAGGAAGCTTGGCCTATTCGAGCAACAAATGTGTTCTGACACTATCAGCCAAAGCAATGGCTGAGACGATTGCCAGTAAGTCTGGCAACGACATCGCCCCACCTGAAGGATTTTGTACTGCCGTGGCATGGGCACGCCAAACATTTGCGGAATACGTGGGTTGGAAGTAGCAGAGGCCCCCCATCCTGAAAAAATCTCAGCCGCGAATGGCCCCGTGCTTACCGGGACCAAAAAGGTCTCCATACTCACCCTGGCAGGCTTTAAGCAACAGCAGATCCTCCAATACCTTCCAAGCAAATTGGTGCAAGCCTATCTGTTGCTGCGCTTTCCTCTGACTCTTTTCTGTTTTTGATAGCTTTTCGAAGCTACTGTGCTCTGCAATGACTCCTTGACTTCTTGATCTGCCACCATCATATTTATCATGCTTTGGACAGGAGTTGCCCACCGCAGTCTGCTTACCGCCTGGTTTTCTGTTCAATAGGATCTTGTGATGCATGGGTTTTGTGTTCAGCGCTGTTCTGTGCCAGAGGGGGTTTCCCAAACACATGTTTCGTCTGCTAGGTGGGATTTTGTCGCCAAAATGTTCGTGTCAAATAGATGCAGGGCAGAAAACGTCATTGACTAGGCTTGTTTGGGCGGAAGGACAATAGAATTGAACATCAGGTTTTGTTAGATTCAACCTTATGAAGGGCAAAAGGTTTACATGTAGATCTTAGAATTTGACTGACATTCCCTCGCTGAAGGCCAAAGCCATGGGATGGAAGCGGAGGAGCAGAAAAAGGAGGCACAACAGCTTCACATCGGCACTATGACAGGCATTCTGTTTTCGGAACCTACCTGCGGGACATCAAGCCGTGAAGTTCTGCATCTGAATGTGAGAATGACGCAGCCAGATTTGCTGCAAACAAAAGATTAACAACAGAATGTCCTCCTCGAAGGTTGGAGAGTCTTCACCCTGGCCACGAAACATGGCCATGCTGACAGCTCACGTTTCGTAGTGCAAACATGAAAACCTTTCCAGGCTGTGTGCCTCAAAGCCATCGAGGCCATCGAGGCCGGCCATCGTCTGTGGGCATGAGCACTAGCACTCTCTATCAAGGCATTGCTGGTGGCACTTGCTTGCCTGCTGCTTGACTAAATTGATGTCTGTGAGTATGCTCTTTCAGTAATGGCGGTATGCCATAAGTGGCCATAAAAAAGTTCGGAGACATTTCTCGGCATGTCTTATTTAACATCTGCTGCACAGCGTGACTGTCCTGGGCGACATAGGTACTGAATAAGCCAGTCCATTCGTCTGTGCACAACTGATCCAAGACGGCGGTAAGAAGCCCGGCGCACTGCACAACGGCAACAAAAGGTTTTGCCCCTTCTTCACAAAAGCCTCCTCTACGTGTATCACGAGTGACATAGATGGCCCGCACACGTCAGAGCTAAGCGCCTGTGTCTCGTAGAATGAAGCTTGCGCGGTTGACGCCAGAAATGGTGTCATCACCTTCGGAGCGTTTCTCTTCATTGGTGCATGTGTCGCACTCGAATCCGATGTTGGGCATGAACCAGCACGCAGCGTGATCCTACAATGCTGGCCTGCTGCGCGCCGTCAGCCTCGCCAGAACTCACGCGCCTGCCGTGCCCGGCAGCAAGAACCCACGCATGGACCGTGTTGCGATGCCTTTGGTGCAATCGTTGCAGAGCTTGAAAGGCCTGGCAATCTTGCACACATCCAGCATTGCATGTAGAGTGTCATGTCCATATCTCTGGACGCTAATGGAGATTGAGGCCTCAATTGGCTGCTTTCCCGCATCTGGCTGCGAACTGTGCCTGACTGAAAAGTTGCACATGTGTCGAAAATTGAACTGTTCATACTGCTTATGGCTCCAAGACTGATACCAGTGCTCTGCCCCGGGTCCTGCTTGCTGAATCTTCGCGGGAACCTTCACCAGAAGCAATGCTATGTGCATTTCTGACATCCGCAAACACATATCTAGCTGTCGGGTAATTAATCTAAACCATCAGCCGGCCTCCTCATCCGAATATTCTACGAGGTCTGGTTGTGACAAGACCTACGCTCAGGCAGAACGAGATTTTGCGATACATAGAGAAACGAGCTTCAAAAACTGTCTTTTTCCAGCATGCATGCGACAAGCACACTTGGCTTTGTGCATTGACGCTGCCTGCTGCTCTTTCATCTGGGACATGGCTCGCCCAACTCATGCAACGCGTTTCAGTACACTGTTCCAATGCTTTCCAACGTTGTAGCCAAACATGTCAGTGTACCTGGAATTGTCGCGCGTGATCATTGGACATCAAACCAAGCAAAGTTGCCACCAAGCTGCTTCGTGTCACAACGATACTGCGATGTATGTGAAAAGCCTTGGATCAAACAAACATGTTGCACGCAGATAGTAGTGATGCTAGCTCATCCAAGCAACAAAACTTCCTCAGTATCTCCGTTTTGCATCGCAGCTGCGCGATTCCATCTTGAGTGAGCTCGCGCTCTACAGGACGATCCTGGACGTGCGGCTTGTAAAAACGCAGAGAGTGTCGACGTCGTTGAGGCTTAAGGGTCCGCGGCCACTCGCCCCATTCGCCGCACAACTCGCCAAACTTGCCCACCCGACCCACTTGACCCGCCTGCTTCACAACCCACCTGACCCACTTGAAGACTTGCCGCTTGCCCCCCACTTGCCCCATGACCCACTTGCTCACTTGCCCCACCTTCCCCACTTGCCCCACTTGACCTGCTTCACCCACTTGCCCCTCCTGCCACACTTGACCCATTTGACCCGCTCAACCCATTTGACCCACTTGCACTTGACCCACTTGCTGACCTGCCCCGCTTGACCCAGTTGCCCCACTCAAATGGGGCAACTGGATCAAGCGGGACAGAGGTGCATCAAGTGCAAGTGGGTCAGGTGGGGCAAGCGGGTCAAGTGGGGC